TCACTTTACCTGGACATTCTGAGACTGCAAGTCGTGTATTTGTGATTATGCTAGGGGGATTACGATGGGAACAAGTCGTAGCGTACTATTTCACAGGTAACTCTGTAGATGGAAGTTTACATGAAAATATATTATTTGAAATAATTGCTTGTGTTGGACAATTAGGTTTAAATGTTGTTAGCATTACGTCAGACGTGGGGTCATCCAACAAAGCATTATGGAGAAAATGGAAAATCACAGCGGTTCGTCACAGAGAATAGTAAATTCCAAAAAGCGTCCCATAAATTCAGATAAAAAGATCTATCTTCTTGCAGATGTACCATATTTATTTTAAAATATAAAAAGTATGCTAATAACAAATAAAATTATAAAAATATCCGAAAAAACAAAACTGTGACCGTACGGTCGGTGACACCACCGAGTCTCTCAGGACTCGGAAATCGCGACCTTACGTCAAGCGAGCAGTCGCGGGTAAGCGGTTGGATTCGGAATAGAGGTGAGGAGAGAGAAACGAGCAAGTGATTCACTCAAATTTCAGATTAATAAATAATAACAATTTTATTTTAGCGGGCAGGAATACACGATATGCGATCATAGACATCTCGGATTGATATATATTACTTAGGTTATCGAATCTAACTGTCGCGAGAGAGAGAGAGTTTACAGAATATTCGCGAGTGGATAAATACCTTATAAAGAAGTCGAGGATTGATGATTCACCGACGGGATTCTTTGGGTGTTCGATGGACGCTTCTTGATACTCGGTTTGTTCGGGTAACAGGAGCGTCTTCGGAGGGAGGTATCCGACTTGTGGCGAGTAAATCGAGGCACTCGGACGTGTAATATATCGTATGGTGATGTCGACGGATGCACAGTATTTTAGCACAGTTATAAACTCCAGATAAGGCAAACTTTGGAGGATGACTGACTTGAAACGTCATCGCTCTTCCTTGTTATTTGGGTTCCTCTTGGGTTTTTTCCATGAAGTCGGGAGTTTGTTGTTAATGGTCTGACGTCCAATAGTTGAAATTTATCGAAAGTTCCGGGTGACACACTAATGACTAGATGGATCATCTTCAACAAGGAAACAAGTCCGTGGGAAATAATTTTTATGGATTTTAACCTAGCTTTTGATAAAATGACTGAAGCTAGACGACTGAACCCCAAAATAACACTTTATTGAGGGTCCCTTTGTCCCTCACAAAAGAAAAATTCTATCTTTCAACTGATATAATCATCACATCGTATAAGTGAATTGCTAAATCAACAACAAAACTTAAATTTCAAACTAGCTCCTAAGTTAAGTGAGGAAGACTTATTGCCATCACATTTTCAAAAAGTGAAAGTGAAAACATCTACACATGTCATCAGTCATGATATAAGCAGTGGATTAAGATTTTTTCAGAAGTGAATAAACCAGAATATTTAACAACCGCTTGGTTTATTGATGTTGTTGAAAAATGGTTTAAATTAGCAATATCGAGGTATCCACTTTTTGCTCTAAGTATGAGCATAGTACAGAAGTATCAATAACATTTTTTTTTTTTTTTTAATTTTATGGAAGTGTTTAAAACTGTGAAGATAGGAGATAAATCTATTTGGAAACCTTGTCAAACTGGATTGCTGGTTACAACTCAATCAATTTTAGATTTGCAACATGAATTTTTAATTAACAAAAAATATCGTTTTTTACTAACGTCCAGATTCACCCAGGACTGCTTAGAAAATTTATTTATTTTAGTGCGTGTAAAACAAGTGACACCAACTGCACTCCAGTTTAAGAACAATTTAAAATTAATTTCGATATCTCAATATTTAAAAAATGTGTCAAAAGGTTATGGTTATGAGTTATGATGATGATTACAGAGAGTTTTTATCAGAATTTTTTAATGTAATCAAAGAACCCATAAAAGAATATGATGAAATTGTTATACCAGAAAATTTTGAAGCTGAAAATATGCCTCTAAACAATGCAGAAATGAATTCATTATATAATATATCTGGTTATTTAATAACAAATATCAAAAACCTGTAACAAATGTCTTACAACAATAGGATCCAAAGAATTCTCTCTATTCTCAATTCTAAGAATTCTCAAAGATCTCTATTAGAATATTCAAAATTAGTTGAAATTAAAAGTTTAAAAAAATTCCATGTTTTTTTTTGTAATAATAAAACTTTTGATACGTTTTTAGATATGGAAGATATTTTCCACCAATAATATAATGTGATGAAAAATCAAAACATTTTATTTGAAAAAATTTTATTTGGTAAAATTAAACAAATTATTAAAAATGACCATATTCCAGATTACCATAAATTAAAAGAAAAAATTATGACAAGATTTATATCTTTTATGTTGAAAATAAAAAGCAAAGAGAAAATTAAAAATTTAACAAATCCATATGCAAGTAACTCTATGAGTAAGCTACAAAATTAACCATATTCTATCCCCCATATTCATTAACACTAGTTTGATTATTGATGTAATAAAATATGGAACTGTTACAAATAAAAATGTATTGTTCATTTAATAAATTTTTATATTTTATCTGCATAGCCTTTTGACCTTGATACGCTTTATTACTATGAACTTATATAATTATTATGCATATATAGCTTGTAAAAATTTTATTAAATTACTTTTTATCATACAATAATGCAATATAAAAACAAATATGATAATTTTTATTTGTATTTTTTATAAAACCATGTCCTTTCCGTATTGTTGATTTGTTAAACACTGACTTTATAGTGTATTTTGAAGACACGTGGCAAATTTTCATCGTTTATCAACTGAATAAAGATAAACGATGAAAATTTGCCATGTGTCTTCAAAATACACTATAAAGTCAGTGTTTAATAAGTCAAAAATTTTTATTTGGTTGGTTATTATATGAAAGTACTTCAATATAATAGCCTTGGTGTTCAAAGTTTTATGTAGTGAAATTACAAAATAACACATAAAGAAAAGACACATTTTTACTCCAGCTAGTGTAAGAACAAACTAACTTTATTTTATTTAAACAAAAAAAATGGATAGTTTTTACAGTATAAAGACGGGACGTTAAATAAAAATACAAAAAGACTATTAATAATAAAACTCTCAAAAGTTTTCCCGGGAGAGAGGAGAAGAGTTATATCATGCCAACACCCAGCTTTATCTTTGCATGTTGCATAAGCACGCGTACGTTGTATATTCCAACATTAAATTGTGTGAAATTATTTTTGCCACAAAAATTTTTGTGGGAAAATAAATTTATGAAATTTACATAGATAACGATGTATATGTACAGTACCAAACCATTCATTTTTGAAAAACTTAAAATTTGGACTGTTTTTTTCGTAACTGTAAACTGCCCGAGTTTTCTCGGGATTGGGAAGGAATTTATGGTCATAGCAATGCCATGCATATCTGTTAGTTAATGTATAAACTTAAAGTCAGCAGCCACATATTAATTAATATATTGTGTTAGTTGAAAGTCATGTTTGCTGTGTGCTGTATACACGCAATTTCTGAAAAACAAGTAAAAACATCAAATATTTCTGTTTCTGACTTGCAGAATGTTTTACACGTGTTTATGTTTACTATAGCCTCGAAAATCTTAAGATTAGTGTCCGACTTTTTGTTTCTTGTGCATAATTTTTCTATAGAAGCTTGAAATCAGTCCAAAATAACAGAGTAAAATCTGGTAGAGGGTTAATTCATATTCTTTCGAAAAACACTATTATTTTGCTCGTTATTGTTTGGTATGATAAGAAAACACCAGTTCAGTTAGCTTTCATAAACAAAATTTATTTTTACACTCACAGCTTCCAGAACTTTTTACTTTCCAGGCTGTTATATATAACAGCCTGGAAAGTATGGTAATCGGTCAAAAATGATTCCCAAGAGTTTTACATTTTTGGACTTAGGACACCTAGAAACGTCGAGAAATGCAAAAAAAATTTAGGGTTTTTTCTATTTGTATGGATGTTAGTATATATATATTGTGTGTGTGTGAAGTTTTGTGCAACCCTCTTTGTTGCTTAATAACTCTTGTGCTTTTGCTTTTCGTCGAAAATTTCTGAAAGTTTGCAGGAAGGTTTGTGTATTAAGGTATTAAGGATTGATGCTATTAAATTTTGGTGGTTAAAGGCCCAGGATGGGACATAAAGGGGATCGTGTGTATTTTCAGTAGAGTCGGATGTAATGACGATTTTATTCGTTATTAGCATTTAAAATTTTTTATAAAACCCATCCCTATAGTCAAAATTAAGCTTTTTCGTATTAATTTTATAATAGTTAAAAATCTAAAAAGTTTGTAAAATAAAATATTATAGCAGATAATGCCACCAAATGTTGCCGGATAAATTAAGTAACTCGTTTTGAAATTTTTATAGGGTAGATTAACAGTGTAAAAATTTTGCAAAATTTATTGTAATTAAAAATGTTATTTTAATGTAAATTGTTTTAAATTCAATTTTAATAACCGAATTATAATGTTTTATAATATATTACTTATTTGACTTGCTTTTTGACGTTTATTATCCATGTATTTTCCAGTGTATAAATTTTGTCTGCACCTATTAACTGAAAGCCTCTTAAGCAAATTTATAAGGCATCATCCATTATCTGTACAGGTTGTAACACACACCGAATCATCTAAATAATATGAAATTCTTCTTAATAAAAATGTTCTTTTTGATACATAACTCTAATCGTGGAATTGAAAAGTGATTTTGTATTGTCATGGTTTAGTGAAAGCCACGAATTTGATTGATCAAAGTTGAAACACTCACCTGATCAATCAAATACTTCTTCAAAGATAAACTTATCAACACGTAATTTCAATTTCCAACCAAAACACACTTCTGTTTTAATAATTCCAGAGCTGAAAAAACAATCTTAAACGTAAATATTCTACCAAAACATTGAAGAATTTGCTTAATGTATTAAATTTCAGAAAAAATTCCGTTAAAATGAATAATTTTTTTTTTAGAATTTCATCTTATAAGCTGATTTTTATACATATAGAAGTTGTCTTTCTTTAATTTGTTTAATTTGCAAAAAGGTGAAAGTAATATAAGTCAAAAGACTTAAAAACTGAAAAGGAAAAAAAAAACAATTTAAAAATAAATAAAAATTTATCATTTAAATTTTAGAAATTAAAATGTGATTATTTACATTTAACGAAAATCTTCGTGTAATGACAATGCCTCCGAACCATCGTAAACCAATTTCTCTTTTATATTTTATTAGAAGAAATTTTACCTGCAATATATTGTAATTATTTGTCATATATAGGGCTATATATACGACAATGATATCTTTTATCTAATTTAATACAGTATATAATATTGTTAAATTAAATAATAAAGAGATGAATTCTTACCATTTGTCTATCGTTCTCAGAGAGATGAAATTTCGATATTTCAATCATCATTTGGTACATTCGATTTCCCTGTAAATTAAAACAAAATTTATTGTACTGAAAATTAAACTTTCAACAATTTTAATTTTTATTACAGTTTAATTGAAAGTTGCGAGTAATTTTAATTTATGCCATGCAAGTTTTAATCGATATTTGAATTTGTAGTTTTTAAAAATGGATGCCTCAACCTACATTGAAGAAAGCAAAGTAAAATTGAACACTGCAAAAGTAGAATAGTTTATTGTTTTAATTATTGATCACTGTAGAGTGATCGATTTCTCAACGTCATGCACAATACCTATACATCGAGGTTGCACAGCAGTAGTGTTTACTTTCCCGGATCTGTTATATATAAAACAGAGGGAAAGTATGACTATCGTTCAAAAAATGGCCCCAGATTTTTACATTTTTGGACTCAGGGGAACTTGAAACGTCGAGAAATGCAAAACATTTTTGCTTTTTTCCCTATATGTACGGATGTTAGTATGGTGTGTGTGTGTGTGAAACACCCTCTTTGTAGCTTAATAACTCCTGTGTTTTTTGTCGAAAAATTCTGACATTTTGCAGCGAGGTTTATATATTAGGAAGATTGATGTTATTAAATTTTGGTGATTAAAGGTCGAGAGAGTGGAGTGATAAAGGGGGGTCGTGTTTCTCGAGTAGGGTCAGACTTAATGACGATTTTACTCGTTATTAGCATTTAAAATTTTTTATAAAACTCATCCCTGCAGTCAAAATTAAGCTTTTTCCATTTTATGATAGTTAAAAATCTAAAAAGTTTGTAAAATAAAATATGATAACAGATAGCGCCACCAAATGTTGCCAGGAAAGTTCATCAACTCGTTGCTGGATCTTTTACGAACCCCCAAGTGAGCTAGACTTCTTCAAGATGCTTTTTCTGGGTTTAAACTTTTTAAACCATTTTTCACTTTTTTAAAAATAATATGTTCATAAAAAATATCAGAAGTATTATTACATATTTTTCCTGTTATGAATAACCTAATCTGAACGTATGGACCCAGACGAATTTTACTTTTTAAAATACACAAGTACTCTACTCATAAATACAAACAAATTTTCACAAAAAAGAAATTTAAAAATTTAAGAGTAATAAGCAACTAAGAAGATTGAGAACCACCGCTACACATTACAGTACATGGCCAACAGCAAGTTTTCATTCCGAGAAGGACTACTCCACAATGGGATTGGTAATCGTGGGTGGAAGATGAGGAACATCATCCCAAACGATACCGTAATAAATTATTATTCTGCATAAACGCCTGAATTTTAGTAAAACTCCATCAAAATAAAATGGCGAAGATAATATAATTGTTAATTGGGCTGCAATTTGAAAAAACTGTAGACATATAAATTCCCACTGTCGTTCGTCTGTCTGTCCTTCTTAATTGATATTGCGTTTTTTTACACATAATGTAATTAAAATGTACTTTTTTAATTCAAAATGTAATAACTACAGTAACGAGATGCTTAAGATTGATGACAGTATATTGTAAGAAAGAAAGTTTCGTATCTAATATACATTAATATACTGTATAATTTGTATTTGAACTAAATTAAAAAACAAATACAGTAAAGCGTCGTTTATCCGAATCAATTGGGGACTGGGGTTGTTCGGATAACCAATTATGTACGAAAAAATATATTCATTTATCCCATGTTGAAATTTCTCTCCGTTGCGTGTCGCTTCGCGTTGAATTTTCGTCGATGTTAAGCCTAACGAAGACTATTGTATCGTTAAAAATTATTTTTTATTTTGTACAAACAAAATAAATATATTGAAAAATATAAAAACAATAAAAAATTATACTTTCGAAGTTCATTTAGAATCAAAAACGTAAAATATTTGAGTAGCCGAAGACATAGCCAAAGATTACAGCGCCACAGCACTGGCGAAAATTTAAATTTGTGGACTGGAATTCCTTCGGATAACCGATGTTTTGGATAACCGACCTTCGGATAAACGACGCTCTACTGTATACATATATTTAACTGGATATTAATAAATTTTGAAAAATTGCATTATTATTAACTTATTTAATATGTATAGGAGAGAATAATTTTATAATTAATGCTTCTTTTTCCCTTATTAGTATGTGCATTTATAATAAATTGTTAACTGGACAACATTTCAAATACATTGAAGAAGTAATTCAATTTTTAATAAAATGATATACAACAATGTAAACGCTTTTTAAATTTGAAAGTAGCCAGAGAAGCCAAAGACTACTTGGTCCAGGATACCTAGATCTCTAAATTTGGAACTGCCAGATATATTAAAAACCGCAATGTTAGGACTACAATGAGTGTCAACGCTCAACTCCAATCAAGGTGTTCTCGCTTACGCCTTGATTTGTTAAGCGTTGACACTCATTCAGGTAATTCCACATGTTCAGACCTTGAGGAGTGGAACATGTGGAAGTAGGTGTTGGAGCTGATTGTCGTCTGGACTTTCCCGTTTGTATGTAGTTGTCTTTACTATTACTTTACGTATAAATTAATTCTAAAAATTCTAGAATAAATTATTAAGAAATAATTAAGAAGAAATTTTACCAAAGATGGAATGTAAGCTGCTAAAAAAATCAGTATAATAAATGCTACAGTTATCAGTATTAACACGCCAAACGAGGTCAATTGCTGCACCGTATCATCAATTAGAAAAATCATAGAAAACACAGTAAAAAATGCAGATGTTTCAAGTATTAATGTTAAAAATATTCCAAGATTACTAAATAATTCAATAGCAGTTTCTAAAATTTCATACACTGAATCTAATATTTTAATAATAGATTTAAGACGAAAATGATCGATTTGATCTGTTTTATGAAAATCAAATAATAAGTTTACATAAGAGAAATATAAACGAAATTTCCATAATGAATATGTGCATACTAATGTGAGGAACATCATAAGATAAAGTATATTTCCAAATAAGAAACACAATAAAAGAGCATCGACAAAGATCAATTTTGAGTCACAAGAGCAATGTGTCGAATCAAAACAACGGATAACATTGTTAGTTATTCGTGCGTAATAAGCAATCACGACCATAAAAAATACCATTGATGTCATCTCAAAGAATCTATCTTGGAGCATATAAAAGTTCGCTTCTAAGTGTGTTTTCGAGTGCAGAATTTCTTCTAAACGTAGAAACATTTCAGTTATTATCTTCCACTTATTCGATAAATCCGATGATACCAATACTGGAACAATACTTCCGTTTAGGAAGAACCAAAATATCTTTATCAAACATATATAATCCCACGTGATCGTTGAATATTTTACTCCGAAACATAATATATCGTATTCATAATGGTAAAGGTAGGACATACAATGGATGTAGAAGTGAATCCACAAAATAACATTTATAATTAAGCAATATAAATTATGTATGACTTCACGAATTTTATTAGGATTGTGTCTGTTGTACGAAATTGGTAGACCGAAAATTTTCATTACATTAAACGACGGATTCAATGCGCAGCGAATACAGTTGCATCTCTCTTTCAAGGAAAACATTTTAAAACTAAATTTAGAAAATTATTCAATAATTTTTTGCTAATTAATTGCAGGTTATCGATTAAATCTAACATTATCGGAATTTCTATATGAATAATTTCTCAATTCCATCTTATTAACTAAGATATAATCAATAAGTATCGTGCATTAATGATACACTTAAAGCATAAATTATTGCAGTATAGTTGTGTAGGAAACATGATAAACTCTACGAGAGAAGTAATCAGTTTATTTGAAGACTCTAAATATGAAGAATTTTATTTGTAGACTTTACTTAAGCTTTATTTTTCCTTGAAACTAAATTAATATTTACATTAATTGTTTAGAAGCGCAATCAATCAATGTTTTAAATTATTTTACACTAGACATTCACTTAGTTGACTAAGTATCAAGGATACGACAAAACTCCTATTGGTTCGAATTTATAAAACAAGTAAAAATATTCAAAATATATATAAATGGTTTGCTGTATATTAGTTAATATGACGATTTTAGTCTCTGTAATCCAAAATTATTCTTGGTAGACAAATCTCACAGCAATCGTATTGGCAAATTAAATTTATTTTGTAAAGACTACATCAAATGCATTTTGGGCTGGTCTAATATTTTCCAGTCCCTCTTCAGTGCTAAAACAATAACAAAGAACGTAAAATGTTTAACTAAAACACGACATAGATGTATATCTACACCAAAATTATAAATTTTGGAGAAAAACTTACAATAACCGCTGGTGGTAATTACAATGATATTTCCATGGGTAGGGGTGGTAAACTTTGTACACATTTGTAAGAATCCTAAAATTACAATTATCTTTTTTTGTACAAAACAATATAAGGCTAATACAAATAATATCTTAAACAATACTTATACTTACAAGTTTAAAAAACTTTTCCACACACGTGTATAATAAACATACTAAAACCAACCAATTATTAAAAAATTCTTTGACAAACAATTGTATAGATAATTCCAAAGCACTACAAATTTTTAACCTCATTAGCATCAGTATACCATCAACACTTCACAACAGTAATCAAGTGATGACGTCTTAATACATAACCATTTATTTTATTCTAGCGCCATCTATCAGATTATACCAGCTATAATTTATTTCCATCCCTTTCGACTGATTTATTAAATTATTATTATTTTGTTTTCTAATTTCTATATGTTCTTTGAATTTTCTTTTATATATATCTTTTTCAATATGTAAAATTTTTACATTGTTTCTATTAATATTACAATTATTACTATTGATGTGGTTAAACCACGGAGAATTATTATACTTAAGCCGAATGGCTGCTTCGTGTTCTTTAACTCTAGTTTCTAGTACACGCCCGGTTTCTCCTATATATACACACGGATTATGACAGTCACATTCAATTCTATAAACCACACCAGCTTTTTTTAAAGGGTCTAAATTATTTTTACTATTATTATTAATATGTTTACAAATGTTTTGTGAAATACTATTGGTCAAAGATGGGGCCAAACAAATATTATGATTCTTAATACTTTTCCTGCACTTTTCAAAGATATTTTTAATGTATAGAAACTTCTTATATATTTTATCAGTTTTCAACTTAGTATTATATCTATTCTTTAAATAATATGTTTTCCATTTTTTAAGTATAAAGTTTGGGTAATCGTTCAAAAGGAATTTGGTATCTAATTCTTTTAGTTTAATATTTATGTTATAATTATCAGATATTCTAGTACATATGTTTTTTAATTCGACAATATATGCATTCTTTTTAATGTAATCAGGAATACAAGAATGGTAATTAATAGTTTTGCTTACATTACAAGATTTTTTATAAGTTATAAAATCAAATTTTCTAGGATTATTCACTATGGTAATATCTAAATAATTAATTTTCTTATTAACTTCTTCTTCAATATCAAACTGTATAACCTTGTCTATGTTGTTTATTAAATTATATATAGTTTCTTTATTAATCAGATTTCTATTATATACTATCAAATAGTCATCCACATACCTCATTATTAACTTTATACCCCTAATATTACTAATTTTTTATCGATGTCAATCATTACTAATTCAGCTAATTTTGGCCCCATCTTTGACCCCATACTGATACGAGTTTTTTGTCTATAAAACATACCATCAACTTCAAAATAATTATTTTTGTAAGCAAATTCTATTAAATCTATCAAATTTTTTTGAATACCAAGGTCTTTTAAACTGTTTTCTATCATAAACTAGGTTATGCTAGGATACATATTTTTTATATCTAAGCTTATTAAGCAATCTGAATTCTTCTTATTTAATTTCAATAATTTATTAATAACAGTATCAGCATTTTTTATGCTATAGATAGAATTATCTATATTTTTTAATTGTTGTTTTATGTATTCCTCTAGATTATACAAGATGGAAAATTTAAAGTCTACAATAGGTCTAAACTTTTCTTCTATTTTATGTGTTTTTAATCTAATATTAAGTTTTGGGGTTCTATTATTTTTAGGATCCAGAATAAAATTTTTATCTGTATTACTTATATTATTATTAGTATAACTTTTTTTAATTAATTTTGTTATTTGTTTTTTTATATCCTCATAGGGATCATTATTTAATTTTGTATAAATATTGCTATTAATTTGTTCACCAGTCTTAGTCGTAAGGTCATCATTCTCTATTATTACTAATTGTCTAGTTTTATCAGCCTTTATTATTTTAAGGTTATTTCTATTAAAAAATCCTATAATGCACTTTATGCACTTTTTTTGTTTTTTAATTTTATGTTTATCTTTTAAATTAATATCTTTTTTTAATTCCTGAATAATACTACTTAATAAGTTACTTTTATTTTCGTTTTTAATTGGCAAATCTACTATGTGCTACGTATGGATTAAATGTAGAAAGAGTTTTTCAAGATGCATGCCATAAAATTGTTCAACAAAAAATTCAAGGATTAACACCAAATAGTTCCAGACCAGGCACTCCAATTAATCATCCAGTTCGCTGCAATTATTACATACCTGGTTCAGTTCCATTATCAAATAATCATATTATCGCTCAAAGTAATGGTTATACTAATCATCCAGCTGCTACACCAACAATTCCTAATTCTTCGCAAATGGTTGGATCAGTTTCTAATAGCCATGCTTATCATGGACAAAATTTTATGAAGGATGCTCATCAGTGGGAAAGAGAAATGAAATCTGATGTAAATGGTACAAATATGCTAAAAGAAAGTAAATCAGATAAAATAGAACGTTCATTTATAGTTGACTCTCAACAAATTTCTAATACTGTAAATAAAGAGAGTAAAGATATTCCAACTCCATGTTCTACTCCAACAACTTCCAGGAAATCCAGGAGGAGATCAAATCTTTTTACACCATTGAAGAAAGATGATGATAAAAAATTGAAAAATGGAGAAACCGGGAAGTACTAGAGTATATAGTATATAGGAGAAACCGGGCGTGTACTAGAAACTAGAGTTAAAGAACACGAAGCGGCCATTCGGCTTAAGTATAATAATTCTCCGTGGTTTAACCACATCAATAGTAATAATTGTAATATTAATAGAAACAATGTAAAAATTTTACATATTGAAAAAGATATATATAAAAGAAAATTCAAAGAACATATAGAAATTAGAAAACAAAATAATAATAATTTAATAAATCAGTCGAAAGGGATGGAAATAAATTATAGCTGGTATAATCTGATAGATGGCGCTAGAATAAAATAAATGGTTATGTATTAAGACGTCATCACTTGATTACTGTTGTGAAGTGTTGATTGTATACTGATGCTAATGATGTTAAAAATTTGTAGTGCTTTGGAATTATCTATACAATTGTTTGTCAAAGAATTTTTTAATAATTGGTTGGTTTTAGTATGTTTATTATACACGTGTGTGGAAAAGTTTTTTAAACTTGTAAGTATAAGTATTGTTTAAGATATTATTTGTATTAGCCTTATATTGTTTTGTACAAAAAAAGATAATTGTAATTTTAGGATTCTTACAAATGTGTACAAAGTTTACCACCCCTACCCATGGAAATATCATTGTAATTACCACCAGCGGTTATTGTAAGTTTTTCTCCAAAATTTATAATTTTGGTGTAGATATACATCTATGTCGTGTTTTAGTTAAACATTTTACGTTCTTTGTTATTATTTTAGCACTGAAGAGGGACTGGAAAATATTAGACCAGCCCGAAATGCATTATAAAAGACTTGATTGTATACTGATGCTAATGATGTTAAAAATTTGTAGTGCTTTGGAATTATCTATACAATTGTTTGTCAAAGAATTTTTTAATAATTGGTTGGTTTTAGTATGTTTATTATACACGTGTGTGGAAAAGTTTTTTAAACTTGTAAGTATAAGTATTGTTTAAGATATTATTTGTATTAGCCTTATATTGTTTTGTACAAAAAAAGATAATTGTAATTTTAGGATTACTACAAATGTGTGCAAAGTCTACCACCCCTACCCATGGAAATATCATTGTAATTACCACTAGCGGTTATTGTAAGTTTTTCTCCAAAATTTATAATTTTGGTGTAGATATACATCTATGTCGTGTTTTAGTTAAACATTTTACGTTCTTTATTATTGTTTTAGCACTGAAGAGGGACTGGAAAATATTAGACCAGCCCGAAATGCATTTGATGTAGTCTTTACAAAATAAATTTAATTTGCCAATAAGATTGCTGTGAGATTTGTCTACCACGAATAATTTTGGATTACAGAGACTAAAATCGTCATATTAATACATTATTTCAATTTAAAATTTTTCCCAAGGTACAGTTATATAGATGACCGGCAGGACTGTTGTTATCAGCAAAAGTATGATATATCAGGGGCAGGACAATACTAACTTGAAATGGAGGGAATATATTTTAAATTTAATTAATTAAAACTTCGATTAAAATTTCAGCTTGCATTGTGACGATGTTGCAATAATTTTTACTCATTTTTATTACAATGATATCAGATCTATAAATATATTTTATATAAATATTACAAAATTGACTATTTTCATTTCTTAATAAAATTGAGTTTTAAAATCTACTCACTTTCTAAAAGGAAAACTTTTAATTTAAAAAGATGTTTTATTCTTTATTTATAAAAAAATCTCGAGAATCCAGGCATTAAACTTTATCAAAATATTGGGATCTGCGCCATTCACATAAAAATTAAAATAAAATAAAAAATTAACGAAGTTCCAGATAGGAGCAGAACCCGTGATTTTCTGTACAATAAAGAACTTGGCGATTGGACCGAAATTCCTTCTACTTTAGTAATTGAGATTTGATGAAGCAAAATAAAGAAATAATCCAAACGAAAAAACTTTTATGATCTTTTATTATTATCCATTCAAGCTTAATTAAATAATCACAACTGCNGGCGATCTGCCAAAGAGAGATACCACCCGGGAGTATCTCTCTTTGGCAGGAGGAATTTTTATGAGAACCTGCTTCCAATTTAGTGTTAGACACGTGAAAAAACCCGGAAGACTCCACGCGACCAACTACCGGTGTTTAGTGATTTTATTCACTGGCCACTTCAACGTTTATAATAAATAAGACAAGAGAAGACGAGCAATTATTTATTATGAATGGTCACAATGCTGAGATGCAATTTTTAATTATATTTTTTAATTTATTTAATTACAATGTATTCTCTCCACCTCAAATTAATAGTGTCTTGTCCCTGTACATTATTCTTTTCCTGTTGGCAACAGAATCATGCCAGCCATCTATCTAATTCATTCCAGAGGAAAATTTTGAATTGAAATAACGTGACTTCCGGTTTGCATCAGAAGTTCGTATATAATTAATCGGGACTACTGCCCCTAATTGTTTCATGTCTACTCTCAGATTTCAGATATCTAACTTTGTTCTGAAAATTAAGGAAAGACAGACAACAGACGGTCAGACAGACAACAGTGGAAATTTATAGGCCTACAAATTTTTGTAATTGTAGCCAAATAAACTTTTATATACAGTGTACATTCAAAAACTTGGTCTCCTAAACTACAGTACCTTTAAAAAAACACATACTAGTGTAGCCTCGTGACACGTACCTTTTCTGTTCACTTTATAGGCTACAGAATTTGATCAATCCCTTACTGTTAATGTTTTCTTCTGAATCACTCGAACTGAGTTTATAAATTTTTAGACTTAGTTTAATAAACTATTTTTGTTGTCAAATCGTTTTAAAATCATAAACACAAGAACATCATTAAATAATATACATCATTTAATTTCGCATCTATTCTGTATTAATTCACAATAATACGTTTTAAATTACATTATAGAATAAATAAATGAATAAACTTACATCAATTTGATTATCTTTTCTTAATCGTGAGGCGGAAAGTTTGCAAATAATTTTGTACGAACGATCATACTAAAATGATTAGAAAAAGAGTAAAATATATGTTTAAATATACAATAAAATTATAAAACAAATGCATATTTTATGAAATTTATAATATACAGCTCGATTCAAAAGTAAGTGAAGCAAATAACAACACACAACTGTTCTAAATTCAGTTTAGACAGTTTTAAAATATTAAATAAAATTAATTCCATGAATGATAGGAAATATAACACCGGAAAATTGTACTCCTTTCAACTTATTTTTATATTTTGCTATAGGCTTATACAAAAATTATGAGTATAAACGAATACAGTACACCTTAATTTTATATCCACAATGAGAAACTTTTTACTCATTGTCATTGGCCTTCCCTCTTCTTCAATATAGCCTATATGCAAATTGACGCTGATGGTCGAAAGCATTTTTAATACTTTTATATGTCTTCATCAATTTCTTGGTTGTATCGCATTTAATCTTTCCGTTTTCTCGAATCTCCTTTCTTGCCGTATTGATTCAATTTTAAGGAATAAATATTTAGCAGGAGTTAATTAGAAAGAACAAAAATAATAATTTAACTGATATTTTCAAGTACAGTACCGTTGTTGGTCATTCATAACATTTGTACGGTTTCTTAAGCCTAATATCGGATTGATGAGACAATGCCCATGTATTTAAGGGCGATACTTCTGGGAGAATTTCTGTGAAAAATTGGTCCTTATTTAGGTGTTAGACACGTGAAAAAACCCGGAAGACTCCACGCGACCAACTACCGGTGTTTAGTGATTTTATTCACTGGCCACTAGTAGGTTATTTTAATTNTGATATTTTCAAGTACAGTACCGTTGTTGGTCATTCATAACATTTGTACGGTTTCTTAAGCCTAATATCGGATTGATGAGACAATGCCCATGTATTTAAGGGCGATACTTCTGGGAGAATTTCTGTGAAAAATTGGTCCTTATTTAGGTGTTAGACACGTAAAAAAAATCCGGGCAACTTTACGTGTCAGTTAGTCGGTGAGGCGCCAATTCACGACTAATCAGTGTTCAGTGGTTCTATCCAATAGGCATGGGTGTTAACAGTATACCCTTGCCAATTGTATAGTACACCTAACAATACACCCTTGCCAATTGGATAGTACACCTAACAGTATACCCTTGCCAATTGGATAGTACACCTAACAACTACTGTAAAATTTATTAATAAGAGCAATTTTTAAATTCTAAGAAAAATCCCCAACGATACTAAACTTTAGGTTAGGGTTGGTTAAATTGCCAGGTTTCGCCCTTCTAATTTGAACCGACACGTATGACTGTTAAGTTGCGTTATTAATAAACAATAATAATACGAAGAATTTACAATTAATTGTCTATTCAAAATTATTATAATGGCCTCTTAAAAGTCCCCAATTAAGTGAGAGAGTTTCAATTTTGATGATCGGGAGGATGAAGTTTCCGCCACAAAACTAAGCATACTTCTCTTAAATAATCTTCAGTGTATACTATATACAATGGTACACTGCAAATGCCATTCGACATGGCCCTTTCATTCTGCCATTCTGGGCCTAGATCGAACGATGGAGTTGAAAGGTCCACAGGAAAAAGCAAGGAAAAAAAACATTTGCAAAATAAATATATCTGTGCATAATCACGTCAAAGTAAATAAAACACCATCTCGAGGGACTCGTGATTATCCTTTCAATATCAGAAAAATAGAGCCTTCTGATGGCAGAGGTAATGTTAAATGGACACATGCTGCTTCGAGTGTTTTGAAGGAAAAACTATCATTACTTAGATTCTTGAGCCTTGAATTAGCCTTATACAATTAATTTAATATCGGATCCAGAAGTCTTTAGAGGAGGTGCTGAAAGGAAATAATATCCCTTACAAAAGTTTTATTACCAGAAGTACTCAGCTTTACTCGGAGAAAATCCTCAGATGGGGATGCAGCTGCGCCCTGCGCACCCTTCTAAATTCGTCGCTTATTTTAATCACTTTGAGTTTCTTTTATACTGATCATAATAAGCAATGTTAACATAAAGCGAGATAAATAAATAAGGATGCAATGAGGGAAATTCTTGATCTGTTAACTATATCAATAGGACAAGTTAAAGCATGCAAGTTATAAAATGCTAAACTTGAATATTTCTTCCCTTATTGTTTCCCCTTAATGCATTGGAATATTTTTTAAAAATTTTTGTCTTGGAATATTTTAAAATTATGGAATAAATTAAAATACAATTTGCCGGTTTGCTTATTTGGTTATATGGAATACGTCAACGTAACAAGTGGGCGATCTGCCAAAGAGAGATACCACCCGGGAGTATCTCTCTTTGGCAGGAGGAATTTTTATGAGAACCTGCTTCCAATTTAGTGTTAGACACGTGAAAAAACCCGGAAGACTCCACGCGACCAACTACCGGTGTTTAGTGATTTTATTCACTGGCCACTAGTAGGTTATTTTAATTCATACTATATTAATTTTTGGAGAATGATGTTTAATGAATCTTAGATTAATTAAATACTGTATATAAATTTTTAAAAAAGTAAAGAAATAAATATTACTAACAATAAGCAGTAACTAAATGCATTTACAGTGGTACCTCAGGATACGAAATTAATCCGTTCCGAAACTGGGATCGTATCATGAAAATGTCGTAAGGTGGATCATTTTTCCCATACGATTACATGTAAAACCAAATAATTTGTTCCAACACGAAAAACACGCTCAAATTAAAGCTAAGCAGTACATTAAAAAAAATAACTATAGTAAGGAAAACACTGAAAAATGCGTTTTGTAGTTGTAAATATATAAATAGCCATAATAAAATAATAAT